TTCCTCTTCGAGAACCCCGACCTGAGAGACGATCTGGACATGCACGCGGGGGCAGGCGGAGATTATTCCATCGAGGTTATGATGACGGCACTGAGGACGACAGCCATGCAACGGTACGACCGCGTGCGCTGGAGCATGAGAGATCATCGAGCCACGTGCGTCGCCGACCTGGAAGGCTGCCTGGGCGCGGTGCAGAACCACAACGGCAGACACTGGGTTGCCTTGAGACGCTCCGGCCACGCGTTTCTGTATCTGGACTCCCTCAGCCGTGATGCGCACCCAAAGCGCCTCAGTGTGGAGGAAGCCGAGGCGACAATGCGTGCACATCCAACCTACGCAGTGCAAGAACTCTAACGATGCACCGGAGGTGCGGTGTCATCCCATGCACTGTACATAGTTCAGCTTCGAGAGCTTCTGAATACAGCGTAGCAGGATACAGTGCAATCGCCGGACTGTCGGTCGAACCATGCGCACAAACAGAGCATGTGTCGAGGAACGCGACAGAAGCCGTTGCGGAGCTCGGATAGGTGATAGGTGCACAGTGTACATACGAACCCGTAGGCGACGTGCCGGCTTCGCTTGGCAGAGCAGAGGCACAGCTGCCGAGACGATGCCCGGGCCGGCTACGGGCACAGACCCGCGCCAATCCGGCCGCCGAAAAAGGCAGATGCAATCTCCCGAGGTGCAACATCAGAGCTTCACTCAGGTCTGCGAACCAGCAGAGGTGCCGAGTGAAAGGCACGATATGCTCTTTGCGCAGCCAAGCAGGAGGTGTCCAGTACATCAGCCTCGCAAAGCTCGGACCTAACCGTCAGCGCTTGGCTCTCATGTCCCAAGTGACCGGCCAAGCGCGATCGCACGACCAAGGCACTTTGAACACCCGATGACAGGACCGCGCGTACAGGCCGACATCTGTCTAAGCGTCCAAGCTGAAAGAACCAAGTCTTGGACTCCAGAAACGGAGCTCGCACTGCCCCGCCAGGCGACGCCGGCACAACCGCCTCCAGGCCGGAGCGTCTTGGCCACCGTTACCCGACAGCCTAAATCACGCGTGAAGTCACAGTGTATTTCGAGCAAGTCATTCGAAGGCACAAGTGATGTGTGACATGTCTAAGATGTACACCATTGATTACAACCGTCGCGACCTCATATGATGCATACCTGCTCTCGTTCGATGGCTCAAGAAAATTACCGACGTCCTCCAGGCGGCCAAATTTGCGACGCATACACTTGTGCGTCAAGTCATGCTCCACGTTCGCGCCTACAGTGGTCGAACGATCTGCAGCATCAATCCCGCAGACCGTAAGACCGACCAAGGCCGAGTTCTCGACGACCTAGCAGTAATCGCAGGCTTACATCTACGTGTGCCTGCCACCCGGGTCAGCATTCATCCAGTTGAAGAATGCGAGCAAGCAGCGTTCAACCCGACGACGACCTGGGCTGACTGTGAACACTTCGCGGGCGCGACACATTACGAGCTGATGGCAGTCGTCCGACATTACCGGGATGGGGGGACTCGCGAACTGTCCACGGCGATCAAGATGGAACGATATGCTGCAGTCCACAGCTTGTTGGAAGACCTAGTAGACCCCAACAGTGTCATTCGCCACGAGGCCGTGTACGGACTATGCAGTCCCTTGGGCCTCGCTGCGCACACCAACTTCGGATGTTCTTGCATTGCCGAAGCACTCATCGAATTCCAAGCCGACATCGACGGCAAGCATTTCGAAAAGAGTCCATTAATGGCAGCTTGCGAAAGTCGAAACACGAGAATGGCCAGCTTCCTCATTCAAGCTGGCGCGGATGTGAACCGGCCCACCTGGTTCACCGAAACCCCTCTCCTCCTCGCTGCGTCAGTGAACTCAGCGCCGTTGGTCCGCCTCCTCTTGCGGAACCGTGCAGACATCACTCAACGGGATCCACGGCAGCGTGGACCCGTTGAACGAGCCTTCGAACACGAGGCGCTTCGCGCAGCCACTTGTCTCGTACGCGCAAAGGCACAGGTGCAGCCATATGCAGACGACGAGTGCCTGCTGCACCAGGCCGCAAGCAGAGGCAGCGTCGCATGGGTCAAGCTGCTGACGGCGGCCGGCGCCGATCCTCAGGGCAGGGACCAGCACGGACGGCTCGCCATGGACGTACGTCAAAGACTGTCGACCTTCCAGCAGCGGCAACAGCTAAGGCGCAGCCTTTGGCCGACTATGCCCGAGCTCAGTCGCGGCGATCCACCTCGAATAGAGCACGAGGGTCGCGCCCGCGAGTAGAAACCCTGTCAGCATGTACAGAACGGCCGCGAGTACAGGGCTCAGAGACCAGGACGACGAGTCCGGTGCAAAACAGTACAGGCAGCTCGGGCAACGGTTTCGCATTCTTACACCCCATCGACATGCAGGTGCAGACGACATCCCGGTCATGCTCGGCTGCGAGCAGAACAAACGCCGAACCGTTGCCCGAGCGGACAGAGAGTGACAAGTCATCTGTGCCGAGAAACAACCGCGACTCGCGGAAAAGCAACGTCCTCACTAGCTCGATTCTGCGGAGAAGATCCCGGATGAATAGGTTAGGGAATCGACCCTCACGTCGCTGCACAGGCAGGGCCGATTTCCTCGACGACACAAAGCTCGGGCCCAAGGATCACTGCGCTTGGCAGCAAATCCCGCGATCAGCCTTGACACACGCATCGGGTTGCGAATCGGGGAACCGCAGCAACGAACCCAGGTGTACAGGCCGCCAGGCCGGAACGACAGCTTCCCCACCCGACACAAGCGAAACAACCCTCCCAGGTTTTCAAGCTGCATTCCATGCCGGCCGAGGCGGCCACGGAGCGACGAGGCCATCATGCATGGAGTCTCGAAACACTCATAGATCTCCAGAGAGTGACAACGAGATCAGGCAAGCGCACGTCTTGCAGCCGTCTGCACGGAAGTGCTCGCCGCACCCACGGCTCAAGTGAAGCTCACATCCTAGCGTCGCGCCCGAGTCAGATATTTCGACCCACCCAACACGCCTCGAGCATGTTCGTGTTCCAGCCTGGCAGTGCAAACAAGTCTGTCTACCTAGTGGCTGCACACGACCACGTGTAAATCCGTCGGCATCGCGTCCGAGATGACCTCATCGGCAAAGCGCCGGAAGCTGGTTGACTCTACAGAAGAGAGATCGAGATCGGAGACGCCACGGCCAGTGACCCTGACGGAACTCGGACTTCATGACGTACTACCACGGAAGCTCGCATACCGAGACAGCCCGCCTCGCTTTCCAAGTCGCCCGGCAGAGCTGCCCATCGATCCTCCGGAGAACATCTTAGCAGACGGTCTGCAGAATGTCAACAGTCACCCGCGGGACGAGCACCTCACCTTCAAAGCGAGTGACCACGTTTACTTCTGGAGAGGGAAGTGGGTGGCAAGATCGGCGACACAACTGGTGCACGAGTTCACGAACGAGTTCTCCGAGGACCAAGTGATCAGCTCCATGCAGAGAAGCACCAACTGGCCACGCCCAGGCTACCTCAAATCGGCTCTCTCCGAGCGCCAGAAAGCTGAACTGGCGCGGCTGAAAAGCACGGGGCAGCTCCTACGAGCATTCCAGCAGGAGGAGCGAGACGAACTTCAGATCTGCAGACTCGCCCACCGGCTGCGAGCAATCGCGCCGGAGGACGATGCAATCGCTGAGCTCGTGGCAGGGTTGGGGCTTTCGGAAAGCGAAATTCGAGAGAAGTGGGCTCGAGCTCGAGAGGACGGCGCGAAAGAGGGCACATGGATGCACGCACAATTCGAGCACCTACTAAACGGCGGATCCCTCCCGAGCCGGACGGAAGAAGTAGCCCTGCTGGCACAATTCCTACGTTCTCGGCCGGGTATGACCGCATATCGCACAGAATGGCGAATATACGCGGAGGAGGAGGACGTCGCTGGCAGTATCGACTATGTGGCCGAACGACCAGACGGCAGCAAAGTGATAGTGGACTGGAAACGCACAAAGAGAACACGACTGAACAACGAGGCCTTCGGCAAGTTCATGCGGAGACCACTGTGCAGCGTACCCGACTGCACCCTCTGGCATTACCGCCTCCAGCTGAACGCATACAGGTTCATTCTCGAGAAGTACTACGGGCAAATCGTCTCATCCATGTACATAGTGGGCACCAATCCCGACAACGGCGACCATCCATACGTCGACGAAGTGCCGCGAATGCAGACAGAGACCCAAGCTCTTTTCCAGCATAGCGCAAGGCATCGGCACGAAATCGCAGCAAAAGTCAGGCGTGTAGAATCGCACGTAAGCACGTATCGTCAGTGTCGTCTGGTACAGGCGAACTTGGAGCACCGGGCCAGTCCGCCTCTTACTTCGTGACAGAAGAAATGTTTATGGATTTGTGTTAGTTACTTTAGGAGTTCGAGAAGCCCATTGCAACAAAGAGTCTCTAGCGCGGCCCTCGACCACTACAACGTGTCTACAATCTCCGTCGCACATCCTTCCTACACCGCTACGAGCACGACCTCGAAACCCAGGCTGCCCAAACATACCCAACGGCTGAACACATCACGAGCACAAGGATGAGTAGCAAACCCAACTTGTCGAGGCTTGCGAGGGAAATAACAGGAGCAAATGCTTCAGAAAACCCCCACCAAACACAATACAAGTTCTCGGCATGTCGAACGCTCTGAGATAGGATAGTTACCACATGCGGTGCAATGGCATCTGTTCCGTTCTGAGGACCCTGTCAGATTGGCGACATACAGGTTCAAGCGATGCATACTACGTGCTCCTCATTATCGAGTCCTGGCTAGGCAGCCTAGAAAGAAACCTACGCGAAAGAGGGTACAAGCCGGTACAGCCCGACAGCGTGCCTACCGTCACCAGCCGCAGCGGTAGAGTTCCCCTCGCGGTTATCGAGTCACACACACCCAAGAGTAAGCCCCACCGACACAGGCAGTGGGCAACTGTTTCCACGCTCCCCATATACCACCGTAATGCGGCGAGAGCAAGGTTTGCAAGCACAGAATGCGAGGGAAGAATCCCCCGCTGTAAAGACTCCTGCTGCAAAAGGTCCAGCCCCAACCCAGCCCCGCCCGACTTAGGTGTCCTTCACCATCGCGCACATCTCCCGTGCACAAACGGGTGCGCTACACGAAACCATCGAGTCACAAGCATCACAGCATCACAACCCTCTGGATACCCAACAAAAGCATCAGGAACGCTTGAGCCACGTCTTTAGCCGTCTGCATCAAGGGCATCAGAAACACTTGCGCCACATGCAACTGTTGAGCACTGACATACAGCATCATGGGCATCAGAGCGGAGACCTTGAGCCGTATGGATTTAGGGTCTTTAGGGTCTCGTTAGACATGGAATCGTCAGTATTTCACGATCGCTCCTAATGCGCATACACATAGCCGATATGTAGTACATGTGTCCCGAAACCACTACACATTCCCTCGACTGTCCTGCACCACTTCACATCATCTCCAAACACCTCGCATCGCTTCTAGGATGTAAACACGACCCGCATCAATCACAGGACGCTGCAGCTCCAGGCGCTCACGATGGAGGCGAAGCGCAAACTCCAGAGGTCGTTCCAGGGAACCTGTGCGCGGAGGCGAAAGGCCCGGGGCTTCCGGGAGAACGTAAGGTTCGCCTACCCTACTTCTAGGTCTCCTACCCAGCAGACACCGACGCTCCTGTGCAGAGCAGACGCAAGGGCAGTCTAGAGTATACCGAAAAGGATAGAAACTACGGCTAAGCCCACGCATTCCCTTGGAGTCACTCTGGAGCCCCGGGCAACGGCCGCTTGCCTTCACTGTTTTGTTTTTGGCACCAAAACCATGGTGAAGGCAACGACCGGTTGCCTTCACCCAGCTCTAAGGCTTCCAACACATCAGGCTTCCCACCAGCCCAGCCCCAGCCC